GATTTATTTCAATATTTAATTACTGTAAGAAAAGATATATTTTTATATAAATTAAACGAATTTAATTTTCTTGTTTTTTAGTGGATCGAAGCTAATTTTACTAATCGTTTATCATTTGCAGATTTAACTATTAAACCATTACAAAGACTTACAAGATATAAATTATTACTTGAAGCTATACAAAAGAAAACACTTGATATTCAACAAAAAAATGATCTACAGGAAATGGTAAATAAGAGTAACAAAATTTAAATTAATGATAGATTTTTACTGTCGAATATTTTTTTTTTCGGAGTTATATCAGTAAAACAGTCAAGTCTTCTTTTTTACTCTTACATAGTAACAAGTTTATTCTGAGATTTTAAGTAATGAATATAGATATGTATCGAGGCCGAGTAGTAGTAGCTCGAACTCGACTGTGTACCCTAGTCTAAAGCATGTAATTTAATATGTTTTTTCTTGACGACGTTATCTTCAAATGTTCTTATATTTGCATTCAAATGAAGGACATTTGTATCATATTACAATTAGTAAATGTCTCGCTAAACAGATGAGAAAAAAAATCTGAAAACTTCAGGATAAGTTCTAGAGCACGAGTTGCATCTATGATAAAATTTCCAGTAAGATTGAACTCCAAAAAATTGGTTTTATAGAGACCCTAAAAAATGTAGAAACGAAAATTTTTTCTCGGAATTGTGAATAATGATTGATAACGTTTAAAGTCGATTTCGAATATTTTCAGCTGGTTACAAGAGTACTTTCTCGGTTGTAAAGGACTAACTTGTTGAAAAATATTTCATAGAATATTATAGAAACTTTACAAGTATTCAAAGCGAGTACTCATATATGTTTTCCGATATCTTAAATTCACTACAGATGCAATATCTTGAATCTAATCTAAATAAAAGCATAAATTCTTGAGAAAATATTCTAATCTAATGAATTCCTACAATAAGAGTATAATATGAAGGTAAACAGAGTGTTTATCTAAAAATGTTACGTTTTCTTTTATTTATTTTAAATATATTTATTTAGATTCAAAAAGTAGCTACATTTGTAAATCGTGTCAATTCAAAATTACATAATCAAGAACAAGAAGAACGTATTCGTCAGATTAATGATCGTATAGGTCCATATGAAAATGTATTAGCACCACCTGAACTTAGTTTCGTATGTATTATTTATTTTTTTTTTGTCTTTTTTCTTTGTTAAATCTTAAATTTATTTTATAATATTTTCTTTTTTTTGTTTTTTAAAAAAGATTCTTCAAGAATATAATCGTGATTCAATGTCAAATCGATTAAATCTTCTTCAAGATATGCCATTACATGTTCGAGGTTATCGTCGTCAAATAATTCAACAAGGTCCAATGAAAATGAAAGATTCAAAAAATAATCAAGATGTTTATTGTTATTTATTTTCTGATATGTTTCTTATAACAAAAGGTAGTAAACGAACTGGTTCAACAAATTCATCAATATCAATAATAAATAATGATGGACAAACAAATCGTACAACATCAAATACATTAAATAAAATTCTTAAACCACCTATACGTATTGATCGTATTGATGTACGAGAATATGATCGTCGTGGTGGAAATAGTAGTAGCAATAATACAAATATAGAACCAAATACTGTAAGTCTAAAACAAAATATTTAAGAGAGAGAGAGAGAGAATACGTCAAACTATTGACTGCTGCTAAACTTTGTTGTTTTGAATTTTTGTTTTTGTAGCTCAAATCGAAGATTATATCATGAAACTTATAAATCTAATATTTTGGATTTATAAGTTTCATGATATAATCTCCGATTTGAGCTACAAAAAAAAAAAAAAAAAGGAAAATTTAGTGACGGATGATTGTCTATCGGATTCTCTATCTTTTACATAAATATTATTTTTTCAGGCTTCATTTGTTGCAATAATTTTTTCTGAATATAATTTAATTGAAAGTGCATATTTATTTCAAACAAATTTAAGTAAACAATGGATAGAAAATATTCGTCGAACAAAAGCAAATTTTCATTTATTAATGGAAGAATCAAAAATTAAATTTCAAAATATACATAATACAATATTATCATCATGTTGTTCAACATCAACAAATACAATTCATCAATCACTTCCAAGTCTTTCATTACCATTAATAGAATTACCTAATCTTAAAATAAATAATTCAAATTCTTTAACAAATAATATTCGACATTTATCAAAAGTTGAATCAAATGTATTTAAAATTGTTGAACAAACACGTAGAAATTCACGTACAGATCGTAAAAATTTTGGTCGATATTTTACAGCTGATGGTACAAGTACACATGGAACAACACCATTATCACCATCACCAATTAAACAAATGTTATCATCATCAACAACAATTATTAAACGTATGTCATGGAATAATGATCAAATAATAGAAAAAAATGATTCATCATTAATAACAAATTCATTTCGAAGTGTACATAGTTCAAGTGGTGTAAGTTCAACAGGATCATTTTTATTTAGTACAGATGAAGATTCATCTATAACAACAACATCATCAATACCTTCAATTGTACCATCAATAAAAAATGATGAATATGATGAAAAAAGTTTAGCATCAACTGTTATTGAAATAGATGATCAATTAATACCATCATCTTTAATAATTCAACAACAAAATTTAATATCAGAAGATTTAATTAAAAATAATCTTGAAAATAAAAATAATGAACAATTAATTACTCAAATATCACCATCAAGTACAAGTACACTTATATCAAATAATCAAACAATATTTGGTAGGATAAATCTATTTAAAAAAGAAAAATTTGATTTTTAAGCATATTTTAAGTTCGTTGTTCAAATCCTAATGATTTTATAAAAGAATAAAAACTTATTTTTCTTAAAGTTCAGGTTAATATCTAAGAGTAATATTCAAACTAAACCTAATATATTTTTGAAATAATTGAAGTCTAAAATTTCAAGTAGGTTTAACTGCCAATATGAGCGCTTTTATTCAGTGTGGGTAGGGAGCGGCATCCCTCTCCGAAGATCAGGTTGACTCTTCCAAAGTTAAGAGTCTAGAAACAAAAAATTATTATTCTCATTTCTACATGTATGAGAAGATTAGACTATTTATTTATTACTAATTCTTTTAAACTGAAAATCAGACAATTTGATACCTATGTATACTAAATTTCATAATCGATCCATATATTATATAAATTTATCTTTTTAGAACCTCAACCATCTATCATTACTGATATATCTTCACCAGAATCTTCACTTCGTCGAATTCCTTATCCAAGTGTAAGAAAACGAAATCAAACTCATTATCGTTCAATTCTTCATCAACAACCATATCGTCAAAATAAAATTTCAAATGATAATGATATAGAATCATCAAAATCTACTGATGATAATAATATAACAAATCGAATAATTCATTCACCTATTGATGATTCATTATTATTTAGTAGTGGAAATGAAAGTGATTATGATAATAATGATCAATGTATGACTGTTAAAATACCGGTGAATGATCATAAATTAATACGTATAGATGATAAAACTCATATAGAAAATCTTAATATTAACAACAATCAACAGTCAGATACAACTACAATAACATCAAAAGATACATCTTATAGAGCTAATAGAATAATATCAATTAATCCTGTAGCAACATTAGATGATAGTGAACCAATAAGTTTTCAACCATATCGTCAAGATTCAATAACAGCTCGACGATTACTTGATATTCGAAGTCATTTATTATTAAATACAACACTTGATGCAACGTAAGTCTTTTCATAATGATATGATTATTTCTAGTATCCTTTTTTTTTTTCTCTTTAGGGAAGTATAGCAATTGAATGATTTATCATTAGTTTTTTTTTTCTCTTTGCCTCTCTCTCTCTCACTCTCTACATATATTTTTTTTCTTCGTTTGTGTTCATTGTAAAAAAATTTTTTTTTTTGCTTGTGTGTGACAAACAAATAAAACAGAACAGATTCTTTTGTATTAGAATTTTTTGTAACATATAAAATTCAAATCAACAAAATTAATCTCAATGTCAAAGTACTATATTTATAAGTTAGAATCTCATTTTTCTTTATAAATCGTCAGATGTCAAACATTGATTTCTTAATGAGGTTAATTTACATTTAATATAAAGTAGGTCACAAATGAATATATGCTTAAATACTAATAACTAATCAATAAAGATAATTGAATTTTAGTTTTCATGTCATGAAAAGATAACATTGTTTACTGATCTATTAATTGATGAAGACATAGAGAAACGGAAATTAAATTTGCTGATTTCATTCATTATTTCTCCTCCAAAAAAAAAAAAAATGGAACTTGAGGGGGTTTATATGGATATAGATATTTACTGATAAATGTTTTTTTTTTTTGGATTACTTTTCTAAAAAAAATTTGATTTTTGTCATATATTTGATTCTACTTTCTAAACATTTATGTTATTAAAAATAATAACGATAGTCAGATGTTATTAAATTGTTTGAATTTTCTCTTAATGAAGATTGATGAATTTGTTTTTTGAAATATTTATATCTTTTTTTTTTTTTCATTATCAACAAATGAATTATTGATTCTGAAAAATAACAAAGAAAAGATTATTTGAAATCTATTAAATTCATCAATTGATTTATTTCTGGTTTTTTGCTTAAACAGAAACACAATAAATAAATTTCTAGTTGAATAAGCTTATGATTTTTTTTTCATGTAATATTATCTACTTCAATAATTGTCTATACATCTAGTTAATATATATATATATATATATTCATAAAATATTCTTTTTTTCACAGTTATAATAAATATAATGTAATTGTGTTTTTCTTCTCTTCTAAATACTCTTGAGAAAATAACTCTTTTTTTTTTCCCTCATCATATAGCAAAATGAATAATTCTTTGTTTACTATAAAGAGTCATGTATATACAATGATGTTAATTTCATTCATAAAAAGTAACTCGTTGAAGTCTTAATCAATGATTGTAATAAAACGAGTTTTTATCCTTTGTTTCCTTGTACTATGCTACATAGTATTTCAAAGTAAGTATTAATTTAAAGATGCTTTATATTCAAGATTTTTGTTTGAAAATGAATTTATTAAGGTAATGCACTTCAATGTAAAATTTGTGAACAAAGTGATCCATCTTGTTTATTTTCACGAGATATTGACATACAACTTTGTGAAAATGAGGATGATGTTTGTTATTCATGGCTTTATCGCCGTGGTAAAAGAATTTTTATTATTTTTTTAAGATTTTTTTTTTTTTATTGTTAGGAATCGAAGTTGGAGTACGACGTGATTGTATATCGATTAGTTCTCCTCAATATAGTTTAATCAAGGAAATAATTGGTACTAAAGACAACGCTTGTCTTAAACGTATGGGTGGACTTGATTGTTTTACAATTTGTTCGACGGATTTATGCAATTAAACACAGATAGTTATATGAATAGATATATATATATATATATATACATTCTGTACTACATTATTTTTCCTGTCCTATTGAATAAATACACTATCGATGAAATAAACATTTCGTCTTTTTTTTTCTTCATTTGTTAGGCAATCAGTTTGAAAAGTAAAAGAAAAGAAGAAGAATGGTGTCCACATGTTTATTGTTGCTATCACTACGATATACACCTATACGTCATACTTCAACTTTAGCTAAAGTTATAAAAAATCGTTTAAATCTTGAGCTTGATTCTATTCGACAAGCAGGTACTTGGAAATCTGAACGAATTATATCAACAAGTCAAAGTTCACATATTAAAATAGAAAATTCTAAAAATGATCTTTTAAATTTTTGTGCTAATAATTATTTGGGTTTAGCAAATAATTCTGAAATTATTCATGCAGCAAAAAAAGCACTTGATGATTATGGTGCTGGTCTTAGTTCAGTACGATTTATTTGTGGTACACAAACAATACATAAACAACGTAAGTGTATAATTCATTAGTTTATTTAAAAAAATAAATAAATATATATATATATATTTAGTTGAACAACGTATTGCAAAATTTCATCAACGAGAAGATGCTATACTTTATATATCTTGTTTTGATGCTAATGCTGGTATATTTGAAACATTACTCAAAGAACAAGATTATATTATTAGTGTAAGTTATTGAAAGATTCTTATAATCTATATTCAAAAAAAAAAAAAACAAACAAAAAAGTTGTTATATGAATTTTAATCTTTTGGAAGAATAAAAGATAAATTTTTAAATTCTCGAAATCAATCTTATATAAAACATGATAATGATTTTGAAAAAAAAAATCTATCTATCTATCTATTTTATTTAGGATGAATTAAATCATGCATCAATTATTGATGGTATTCGTTTATGTAAAGCTAAACGTTTACGTTATAAACATAAAGATATGTCAGATCTTGAATTAAAATTAAAAGAAAGTTACAATGAAAATCATGATAATATTATTCGTTTAATTGCTACTGATGGTGTTTTTTCAATGGATGGAACAATAGCTCCATTATCAGATATAAAATATTTAGCAGATAAATATAATGGATTAATTTTTGTTGATGAATGTCATGCAACTGGGTAAAAACATCATATTTTATTTTATTTTATTGATATTAACTTTGATTTTTTTTTGAAGATTTTTTGGACGAACAGGTCGAGGAACAGAAGAATATTTTAATATGATTGGAACAATTGATATTATTAATTCAACATTAGGTAAAGCATTAGGTGGAGCTGCTGGTGGATATACAACAGGTTCAAAAGTTCTTATTGATTTATTACGACAACGTTCAAGACCATATCTTTTTTCTAATACACTTCCTCCGTTTGTTAAATTTCGAAATTTTATATTTTAAAATGTTTTTTTTTTAATATTTTTTATTTTAGTCCAATTGTAGCTAGTGCTATAAAAGCAATTGATTTAATTGAAAATAATCCAAATTTACCAGAACGTGTACATGAAAATGCAAAATATTTTCGAAATGAAATGCAAAAACTTGGTTTTAAAGTATTGATTTAATTTATTTTCTAGTTCTTTTTTTTGTTTGTTTTTGTTTTCTTTTAATTAAATTTAGATCTTAGGTGATAATCATCCAATATGTCCAGTTATGTTAGGTGATGCTCGATTAGCAAGTCAATTTGCTGATGAAATGTTAAAACGAGGAATTTATGTTATTGGTTTTAGTTATCCAGTTGTATGTTTTAGAATAAAATCTTTGTTTTAATTGTACTATGAAAATTTATTATTTTTTATATAGGTACCAAAAGATCGTGCACGTATTCGTGTACAAGTATCAGCAGCTCATTCAAAAGATGATCTTCAACGATGTATTGACGCTTTTGCTGAAGTTGGACGACAATTTAAAGTGATTAAATGACAATTTTTTGAAGATAATATTCAAGCATAAAAAACACTTAATGTAATGACGTTCTTGTTTTTTCTGTGAATTAGGCTTAAAAATAAAACATTATTAAAATCAAAACTAATGAATATAAGAAAATTTCGAATATTTTTCATGATAGAACACTTGGCAAACGAATTACAAATTTTGTATTGGACATATTTTTCCAGAAGAGATCTAAGAGGAGTAGAGGAAAAGCCAATGTTATAAAAACTAAGAGTAAATTTAACTTCTAATATACCATTGAAGAGAGTATTCTTTACGCTACAAAAATCATTACTAAACATGTTTTTTCATTTTACTTCTAGTATAAAAGATTTAATGGAAAAATTTTTTAGAGATGTTTAGTTGTTGACTTTTTCTTGTTAGATTCATTCTAGAAAAATATTTCTAGTAGAAAATTTGTAGTTTAGATGTTACTCATTCTAACAAAAACAAAAAAATTCGTTAGTTTAGAAGTTGGTAATATGATGTAATAGATTTTGCATCGTTTATTATTTATATTTTTTTGATCGCACATTACTGAATTCTCGAAGGAACTTCATTGTAGCAAATCGCTTTGGTTTTTGGTTCAAAAACATATATGAAACTACAGTGTCCGTGTTTTTTCTGTCAAGTACTGCATACTGACATACTCTTTGAAATTAAAAAAAAAACATAATTAAAGTTATAGAATGAGAACCTAGAGAGAATTTGGGCTTGTCAAATGAGGTTTTTTGACTTTTGTTTATTGTATATCTCCTGAAAACGTTATGATATATGGCTGAAAATTTAATGAAATTTGAATGTACTTAATTCTTGAGGAGTGGAGATTAATTAGTAAAATTAGGTTCTTTATTCTGTCAGTGACATTGATTTTAATTAACAAAGACTTTAATTATGATAATCGTAGATCTCTATGTTGTTCTTGATAAAGAATATTTAGATAAGTTCTGATTAGAATTAAATCATCAAATCTTGAGAGTGTGGATACAAACCAGATAGGCATCAATTGCAATTTGAAATAATTTTATTGAAATTATCTGGCTTGGTATTTGAATGCGATTAGCTAAAGTTGAGAAATATTAAAACCAATCAGTGATGATTTATTTATGTGTGTACAAGCATGAAAATTTTAAAATGAGATACTTGAGAATCCATTGAAATAATCATCAGGTACCCTTGAGTGAGAATCCAAGCGAATTGTGAATATGAATTTTTTGAAAATTCAAAATTCAGAAGGTTGAATCGAAGATGATTTAATAATAATATTTGACAAATTTTTTCAAAAAATTCATCGTATATTTTAACTGTCAAGAAATAAAATCGGCCTACTCTCATAAGAACAAGATACAAAATGATGAATGGTTTTCGATTGAGACTATTAGATAGAGCATGGAGAGTAGGGTTCGGTGATTCCAGATAAATCAGAACCAGAATCATTAAATCATCAGATAGATACAAAAAAAATTTTTAAATCGATATCAATAAATCTTCATTTTTTCATTCTTGAGGTTAAAGATTTCAGTATATATGTATCTATTTAAAATTTTCGTATCTAGCTGATGAGTTAATGGTTCCAGTTCCATGTGACATATTGGGAACTGCGATTCCAATTCCGGATAATTTTTGGAATTGCTGAATTCTAATAGCAAGTAAAAGTAACAATTCAAATTAGATTGAATGTGTGGACCTTTGTTGCTGAGATATCGAACTTTTAGTCTATTTTTCCCCGCAAACTCCTAATATAGCAGTAAAATTATACTTTTATATTCGATGTGAAAATTTTTCCACATGGAAATCTTCGTTAGACGACTAGCTGGAATAAAAAAGCATTCAGAATTATTTTTTGATCACTATACCACCAAAATATCAATTACTTATAATATATATCTCGGATGTACAGTAACAGAAAAATTCTGAATGTTTTTTTTTTTTATTCAAGCTACTCTAATGAAGGTCTATATTTCAGCAAAGTTTCAGGTCGAAAAACGAAAATATGATTTTTCTCACAAATCGAAATCCTGCAGAAAAAAAAATAGACATACAAAATTTGGTATCTGAACAACTAACATCCAAAAATATAGCTCGATTCATGTAAAAGTTTTTGCTAATTTAATGAAACTTTGTGACGTGAAAATTCGTTAAAAGTGCGCAAAATTAACGCGTTTTAAAATTCTAACGATTTTTTTTTGTTAGATTAGTAAATTTTTAATGATTCTTCACACATGAATTTATCGAGGAACGTGTTAAATACGAAAGCTGATTAATATGTTATCTCTCAGAATTTTTCATACATTCTTATTTACAGCAAGTATGATAAACTTTCTTCAATAATCAATATCTTGTTTAGTTTCACTCGTCTGAAGAGAAGAATCTAGCTAATCAATTCAATATTGGATGTTCTTTCTAATAAGATGCTTCATAAAGCATTGTTTTCACTATAAACATTTCGTAATAGGTAGCAAAATCAACGAGAAAGCACAGTATATTTTTTTATTTTGTTGATATCTTCAAATTGAAAGTATTTATGGCTTTACTTGCTATAATTTTGCATTCTTGTACATATCAGAAATGTATTTCATAGTCGACAGAAATGATAAGACTATTACTAGTTCAAAATCTAGGATATCGACAAAGTAAAAAAAAAAGATTGTACTTTTTGATTTGTTTCGCTATAAATTATAAAATATTTTTAGTGATAATAATGTTATCTTAAGCATCTTATTAGAAAGTACATTCAATATTGAATCAATTAGCTGGATTTTTCTTCTCAGCCAAGTAAAACTTAGCGCAAGATATTGATCATTGAAGAAATTTCATCATATTGGCGACGAATAACAATGTATGAAAAACCCTAAGGAGTAATATATTCATTGGCTTGAACTATAGAAAGATAGATTACACGAACTAATATAATTTAATTATCCCTTTCCTCTTAACTCAATATATCAGCTTACATATTTAATAGAGATGAATCAGTCATATTTTTCATAATTCGATCTAGATTCTATAAGCGAAAAACTTAACTCAACTCAATTCAATAGCGTAAAAGAGGAATTTATATCAATACACACTTATATAGGTGTCATGTAGCTCGAGTGAGAAAGTTAAAATATCACACGAGTGAAAACGAATGCAACATTTAACGATATATAATGAGTTAGTTACCATTATAATGACAATCACGCGTGAAAAATCTAACGTGTTAAAACGAATTTTCCAAATCTAGCAAAAACTCATGAAAATTTTCATTAATTTGTCTTTTACGGCAACTTTTGGTCTTAACTGGAGCAATTACTTCGCTAAACATTTTTTTTTATCATATGGAGCAGAAATGATGATGTATGAAGTACAGAATTACATTTCTTTAGATATAAAATCCATAGTAAATTTTAAAGAAAAACAAATGAAAGAGGATTATCTTTATCTAGGATCAATTCAAGTGGTTTTGCTATTGATTAATACAAAGTTGAGATTTCTCTAAAGAAAAGTTCTGCTTAATCTGATAAGAAGCTTTTGATATCTGGATTGATATAGTTCACAGACACATTTGATATTTCGTAAATATAAATCTTTCAAGATGATTTTTGTGTAATGTATATAAACAAATATGTTACACAAAAAATTATGAATATTGTACGCATGAAAACGATTAGTAGATTGAATGATGGACCTATTAAATGACGTTCGTTAACAGTTCAAATTTTTATTAAAATTCGTTAAAATATTTCACTCATGAAAACAGGTACTAGATTTAACGAGAATCAATCAATCAGTTAAGTTTCGTGAAAAATACAGAAATTCATGAAAATACGTTAATCTGTTTAACGCATGAAAATGAACACCAAGTTTAACGATATTTAACATGGTAAGATTGGTTAAAAACAAAAAAAAACTCAAGAAATATCGTTAAACTTCTTAATGCATGAAAATGAATGCAACGTTTAACGATATATAATGAGTTAGTTACAGTTAAAACGACAATCACGCGTAAAAAATCTAATGCGTTTACACGAGTCTTCAGAGTATAACGAAAATTCATGAAATTTTTTTCGTGATAAGTTTGTTAATTTGTCTTTTAACGTATTTTTTTGCGTTAATTTTAAAAATCATTTCGTTAAATACCCTTTTATATTTACGTGGACCATGACGAAGCTGAACGAAAACATCGACATGCAACTTGTTCTGCCATTCTCTTTCTTTGCATTATAAGAGAAAGCAAAGAATGCAGAAATATTTTCTTTTCCTATTTTTTTTTGTCCTTACTCAGTGTAAGACGATAACTACTGTTTAATATTTTGTATAAGTATATGGATGTATGTTCTTTCTTTCTTGTTGACCGCATCAATTTTTTGCTTATTGAGAAATAAAGATTAGTCGTGTGATATGTATGAAATCTGATAATAATCATTGTTGATAAAGCTTTGAATGAAATCTTAGGGTTTTAAGTTTATTTTGACACTCTTCTAATACACGAAAATATTTTTATCGAAGTGCAAATATCAGTTCTAATGATCTCGTCTTGAAATAGCATTGTATATTCAAAATATGAAGATTTCGATTCTAAGATATTGTAATTAAAAATGAGTATTTCCGATATTTTAACTTCATAAACAAATTGGTTGAAACTTGTTCAATACATATGAAAAATCGATGTGTACGAAAAACAAATTGAAGAACACTTTCATTAAAATTTATCTTTGTCCTCGCTGAAATGTTTTTCAATTCTATATTTTGTAAGCGATTGTAACTCTCTTCACTGAAAAGCATTTTGTCGAAAGACTTGTAGGACGCTTTAGACTGTTGCAAGCCCTTTAATTCTTATACAGGCTTGTTCAGTATGAAGAGGTCAACTCATTTTGCTCTCATCCTCACCTTTGAAGCGCTCTCCATGGCCAAAAAGTACTTTCGACGATAGTATGTTTCGGCGAAGAGCATATATACTTGGTAAGCATTGTCAAGAAACCGTCAGCGAATAGAATTTATGATCATGATGTCATCACTAGAAATAAATAGTAGACAGAAAAAAAAAGAATATCTCACTATATCTTTTCTTGAGGTTTGTTGATCTACCGTTATCTTTTAACTTTACTCTCATGTTACTTGAATAATAATGATGAGTAGAATTATTATTTTTCATTCAATTCAATTATCGTTTGTTTTTAACCACACTGTGTTTTTTCCCACTGAAATACCCACACAGCATTCTATATAAACCTATGTTGACATGAAAAATTGCTAATGAATTTTTTTCTTCCTTGTTCTTCCGACATTCTTCAAGAATCAAACGTAAGAGAACGCTTATTTTCTCCAAAAGCACATGACATGGAGGAATCACATAGTTATTTTGCTACTAATTCTACGTACAATAGATGTCATTTTTATTTCAGATCATAAATCTTTCACATATTGTTCGTCATTAATAGTAATAGTCTATTACTCAATAAAAAAGTGAGTCACTTTTCTCTAATGTCAGTCGATAGTATTATGCTATATATTTCAAAGACTGAATATTGATTATCTAATTCGTCATATTACTTGCTTTTTAATATTGATGATTAATGTGAGTTTTTTTTTATAGACGCTGATCCACAAACGAATTAAAAATGCCGAAAAATAAAAATCGAAAAGGTGAGTTTCTGAATTTCTTCTTACGACCGTTAGCACCAATAGTTTATTTCTTGATAATCTTTAGCTCGACGCGACTCGAGACCAGCAACAGCCAACAACAATGAAAATGTAGATACAGCATCCACCTCTAATCCCTCAATATCAGCAGTAGATTCTACTACATTAATTCCATCTGAATCATCCACTGTATCACAATCAGCAACTGATCCTCAAGTGACACTTTCATCTCAGCTATCTACTGTGCCAAAATTAGCTTCAATTGTTCGAGAACCAACACCATCTGAAACACCTACTATGCAAAAATCAGCAGCAGATCCTCAAGGACTACCTGAAGCTCAGCCATCTGCTGTATCAAAATCAGCATGGAGTCCCCGAGTACCTCCTCCAGCTGGAACATCTTCTGTACCGAAGTTGACATCGGATCCTCAGGTGCCACCTTCATCCCAGCCATCTGCTACATCAAAGTCAGCATGGGGTCCTCGAGTATCATCTCCATTAGAACCATCCATTATATCAAAACCAGTCCTGGATTCACAAGTACTACAGCCTTCATCTCAGCCATCTGCTGTGCCCAAACCAGCATGGGGTCCTCCATCTCGAAATCTACATCCAATAGAACGTTCATCCAGTGCTTTTCCGATGATGAAGGAGGAAAACAGAAGTTCATCTGTGAACAAAGACACTACTTTATCTAAAGAACGCCGTTCTCAAAGTGTACTTTCAACGAAACGTCGTCGATTTTTATGCTCAGCAGTACCTGATTCCGCTGTCTTGTCTCCAGTTCGTCGTCCGGATGATGGTGGTTCGAGTGGTGACAAAATATCGGTGTATACTAATCATTTTCCTTTGCACATCGATAATGCTATTGTCAATCAGTACGATATTGAGATCTTTACGGTTGGTCAAGATGGTAAATTACGTGTGGCACGCAAAGATGAACGTTGGGAAACGATGCAATGTATTGCAAAAGAAATAAAAACGTTCCCTGTTGTATGGTAAGTGTATTCATCCTTCAAATGATTTGAATGATCTATGATTATCTTTTCAAGGTATGATGAAGGAAAAACATTGTACACACGAGCATTATTGACTGAATTTACAAAGCCTATTCAGATAAAATTGAAAAGAGGCAATGAAACAAAAACATTTCAACTGAACATATTAAATCTTGTTCGACAAGAGAAAATTTCAAATATTTTTGATTTTATTCAAAAGAAAATAATTCTTCGTCCTCGTGAAACAGTTCGAATAATTGAAACTCTTTTCAAACAACGTGCTCGCAATGATCTCGTCTGTGTTCGAAATCAATTCTATAATCGTAATCAAATCCTTGATGATCTCAGTTAGTGCTTTCTACAAAGTTTTTCTTCATAATATTAATCTTGTTTTTTTTTTACAGAGGATGGTCGTGGCATGGCTAAAGGTTTCTATCAAGCATTGTTTCTTACACGATGTGGACCAACACTCAATGTTAATCTAACATTCACTTGCTTTTATATGCCATTAAACTTTGTAGATTTTGCTTGTAAATACTTACGAAAAGATATTACCAAAGGATTTACAGAATATGAAGCAAAAATATTCAGAAAACTAATTCGAGATCTACTTAGTATGTTCATTGAATTTTTGATTTTTTTTTTCTCATTTAGAAATGATTATTTTTACTTGATAGTTGAAACTGAACATACAGGCCGGATACTTCGCTATAAACTGCGTCGTTTTGGTCTTCCAGCCGATCAACTTTTGTTTACATGTGGAGAAGTAGATGAAAGCGTAGCAGAGGCTTCTTCTATTCAAAAGATCAGTGTAGCCGAATACTTCGAACAAAAATATCAACGAAAACTTCGCTATCCACATTTACCTTGTATTGATGGTACAGCTGGCATCAATAAGAGAGCCAATTGGCTACCAATGGAAGTGGTTAAGGTTAGTTTCTTTCATAGAATATCGAGAAAAAAAATGTGATAGACTCTTCAAATATTCAATTGATTTTTTTCAAAAAATCAATTGAATTTAAACAGAGACAATGAATTTAATGTTCATTGATAGTACAATGTATATCAAAGGATTTTCCCCTATAAACAAGATGACTCTGTTGATATGATGATGAATTTCTTTTCTAAGTCTTTCATTTGATTTCAGGTTGTCGAATGGCAACGTTCATTAAAGCCATTAGATGCAACACAACGAGCTCTCGTTTCGGGTAAATCTATTATCAAACCATTTGAACGATATAATCAAATAATGAGTATTATGCATGCACGCGATTTTGAGACGGATATTTATCTTAAAGAATTAAATATTCATGTAGACAACCATGAAATGCTCAAAATCAGAGGTATTTTCTTTTCATTTCTGTTTAGCCATGAATATATAATTTTTCTTTCCTTTTAGCTCGAATTCTTACACCTCCTTCAATTCACTATGGTACTCGTCCAGGTCAAAATGAAGCGATCGAACATGTCAATGTTGGTAGATGGAAAATCCGAAATTGGTTTTATACAACACCTGAGATTCATAATTGGGGTCTCATCTATATTGGTTATCAACATAATCAAAAAATTGATGATATTCTCAACGAATTTAGCAGACAATTACCAGAAGTAAACTATTTTATTCAAATTTATGATAAAGAACTTTCTCCTATCGATTCTTTTTAGTTACTTAAACGTAAAGGTTTTATGATAAAATCAAAATTAACTATAACTATCAAATCCGATCGGCAACAAGATATTGAAAAGGCTTTGACTGATGCCAGTAAAAATCGTTGGCAATTAGCTATTGTTGTGCTTAATACGAGATCTGATCAAGTTTATGATTATGTCAAACAATTAGGCCATCAACAATTAGGTTTAAGAACACAATGTATCGACATGGAAGCATTGATGAAAAATATTGGCAATCTCAACATGTGTAAGTGAGAATAGGAAAAGAATTCTGTCTTCTTATTTTCATTCCAAAAAGAAAAAATTGCAGTAACTGAACAAACTCTGGCATATATACAGTCCTGGACAAAAGTATTCGCTCCCCCCCCCCCCTAAACCGGTCTTATTTCTCATGATATGGGGCTGATATTTTGGATCTAGATTGATCTTACTGAATTCTGATCGCAAGCACCAATCCGGTCTTAATCGATTGATATAGATTGGATTTATCAGGTCAACAATATCATCAGATTGTCTAAGTCATATCTCGTTCATTTTTTGATCTTTATGTTTACGCAATCCGTCATTTGTAAGTCCACTAGTGTAGCTATCTACAGACAAAATTTGGTAAGAAATTGCCTGGGAATAACGGAGATTTGAAGTTGACATTGAAAACTTCCATCAAGTAGTTAGCCATAGTTTCTAGTCTGACATCAAAAACTCCAGTTCAACTCAAGCAATTCAGTTAAAAATTTCAGCAATAAGTTCTTATGAGCTTCTAAGTTTGTGGTAGAATTTTCAGAGCAGTAACTCAATGTAGAGCAAAGATAAAGCCATTGGAAGAGTTCATTACGGCACAGCTTGCCAATCGATGAAATCTGGTTATTATGCGACAAGCTTTGGACCATAGAAACTACATATCATGAGCTGCAAATAGTGCCAAAAAAAAACTGAAAATAAATTGTAGAAGAACGAAACAACAAACGAACATTTTCTTAGATCGCATTGCCCTTTGATCTCTTCAACACCCTACTGAAAATGTACCCATATATAAGATACTTTTATGCCACGAAGAATTTGACTTCAAAATAATTTTGCCGGCTCTGTAGAGCTTCTCGTTAATTATATTAGCCCTATATATACGTACTCTGGATCGTTCGGATAAAACAATAAGCATTCCCTAAAAGATGAGCGTGAATTCAGTAGTATTCCACAGTTACGCATATATATATATATATACGCATTGTTAGTGGTGTGTTGACGAGATCAAAGGGCAATGCGATCTAAGAAAATGTTCGTTTGTTGTTTCGTTCTTCTACAATTTATTTTCAGTTTTTTTTGGCACTATTTTCAGCTCATGATATCTAGTTTCTATGGTCCAAAGCTTGTCGCATAATAACGAGATTTCATCGATTGGCAAGCTGTGCCGTAATGAACTTTTCTAATGAGTTTATCTTCGCTCTACATTGAGTTACTGCTCTGAAAATTCTACCACAAACTTAGAAGCTCATAAGAACTTATTGCTGAAATTTTTAACTGAATTGCTTGAGTTGAACTGGAGTTATTGACGCTAGACTGGAAACTATGGCTAACTACTTGATGGAAGTTTTCAATGTCAACTTCAAATCTCCGTTATTCCCAGGCAATTTCTTACCAAATTTTGTCTGTAGATAGCTACACCAGTGGACTTACAAATGACGGATTGCGTAAACATAAAGATCAAAAAATGACCGAGATATGACTTAGGCAGTCTGATGATATTGTTGACCTGATAACTTCAATCTATATCAACCGATTAAGGTCGAGTTGGTGCTTGCGATCAGGATTCACTAAGATCAATCTAGATCCAAAATATCAATCCCATATCATGAGAAATAAGACCAGTTTAGGGGAAGGGGCGAATACTTTTGTTCGGGACTGTATATATATATATATAGTGTATTCGATATTTGTTTAGATGTGGATAACTTAAGTCAGAAGATCAATAGTAAACTGGGTGGTATCAATAGTGTTGTTAATACAAAATTGGCTTTAAGTCGTTCTTCTAAAGAAGATCTTTTTATGTTCTTTGGAGCAGATGTAAGTGTTCATAATGATAGGATTAGACGAGCAAAAGAATATCTCGTTTAGGTAACTCATTCGACTTGTTCCACAGATCGCCCATCAATTGCAGCAGTAGTTGCTTCACGTGATCCAACTAACACTCTCTATGCTGCTCGACTTTGCGAACGTAAGTTTGAGATCATTTTTTTTAAAGCTATGATCATGAATATATATTTCTATAGAATATCCGAAAAAGGGTCGTTGTTCAATGGAAATTATCAAAGAATTAGATCAAATGGTTGCTGATTTGCTTCGAGTCTTCGCACGCACATGTGGTGGTCGTCTTCCAAATAAAATTGTCTTTTATCGAGATGGTGTAGATGAAGGACAATATCAAAAGGTACTTGATAATGAAGTGAACAAAATCAAGACGGCTTGTCGAAGTAAGTTCTCAAAGAAAAAAGAAAAACAATTATTCTACAAATAGAATGATTTCTTCATATTAGTTGTGTATGGTGACCGTTCGTTGCCAAAATTAACATTTATTGTTGTGAAGAAACGACATAATACGCGTTTCTTTCTCTATGATGGTAAACAGACAATGAATGTTCAGGCAGGTACTGTGATCGATCAAGATATTACTCATCCATCCCAATTCGATTTTTATCTCTGTTCACAAGCAGCCATGTAATTGTGTTGAATTCTTTCATCTTTTTTTCTACTGAATAGATTGTCGACTGTTTTAGAATGGGTACATCGCGACCAACTCTTTATCATGTTCTTCATGATGATATTGGCTTTAGTAGTGACGATGTTCAACAATTAACCTATTGGGTAAGTTGAAATATGAATGAATTCGAACGATTCAAAATAAGATCTATTTGAAGTTATGTCATACGGATATGCGTTGTACTAAATCAGTCTCGATTCCATCGCCTGTTCATTATGCTCATCTAGCGGCATATGGTTCTCGTGCATTGAAATTCAATGATGATCGTGAATCAGACGAGTATGAAATCTTGTCGTTTAATCTTCAAAATTAATTTATTGATTTATACTTTTAGCTTTGATGATGATAATAATGATGAAGAACCTGAAAGTTATTCAATAGATGATATTAAAACTAAACTAATGATATTGGACTCAAAAGTTGCCGATGACATGTGGTTTATATAAATCTTTCTCTATGAACATTTGTTAAATGTTTTTAATAGTCATGAATACAATCCGAATTGTTGTTCCATTGTGAATTTAGTTTACCTTTTATTTAAGACTTTATAATTAAATGACAGAATAAATTTCCTTCTCCTAATATCTTGTTATGTTGTTTTCTCAGCATTGATCTCTATATTCACAAATATTTCTCTGATACTAATAAGATTCAAACAACAAATGCGATGAATAACGCTTTTTTTTTTTACAGAGAACTGATGTTCATCTATGCTCGATCAGACCTTTTTCAATCATGTTTGATCAAAATACTACCATCTCAGGTTCGAATATGGCAAATGAAGATAAAAATCTATTCTACTCAATCGAATTTTCAAAGAGAGTTGAATAGTTAATATCTCTTACAAAATTTGTTAATATCTAGTCGTTAGATTTATGTCATGTAGATCCTTTATAACTCTTCGATTGAGAAAGATTCTATCACCAAAGTTTAATTACTAATGATCGATAACACTGTATTTGAGGGTGTGAATGAAGATTACATTCCAACAACGTCACTCACACCTACACCCATACTCACATTCACACCCACACTCCAATAAGCAACAAACATGAAAATGTGTTTTTTCTAGATAGTAGGGAATTTTCTAACAGTGATATGAATCAATTGAATTGATCTGAGAACGAGGAAATAAACAATTTACTAAGTAACTTTGAACAAAGTACGTAAATTATTAAAAGAAATATTTTTTTTTATATTAATTTTCATATATAGAAAATCAATAACGACTATTGAAGATTTTTCGAACGAATTCTTTGATGAAGTATTTGATTATTTCGATGATTGTGGCATATATGATGCATTTGCCAATCTCAACTATCGTTTTCAACAACTTCTCAATTCTTCATTGATTTCGTTTAAAATTAACTTAGATGATTAGTTATCAAAAGAAATATTGATAGATATTTACAAACGAATGATAATCTTCAATAAACATCAAATATTTTCGATTAATTCTTCTACATCATTATCGATAAATCGATTTTGCTCATCGTTTTTCTTCGATGTATCCTTTAATCACCTTGAATCACTTGTTCTTTGCGAATCTGAATCAGATATATTTCTCTTACTTCTGAATACTTTATCTTCTTTATCTTGTTTATATTCATTAATTCTCAAGATGTTCAAAGGTTTAACAAATCTAATCGATGTTTATGGAATAACTGTAAAACTTCCAATGTTGAAGTATCATAATATGTTAACAAACCCTTCAGATTTCTTAGTTTCACTACTTGGTAATACCGATTAACAACAATTTAGTTTTATAACATATCTTGTCATTGAAAATCATTGTAGTTTTAATAATATTTTGACAATAATTTCATATATATCGCAACTTTACCATCTAAATTATACAAATACGAATTCTAACGACAGAAATATTGAAATAAATTCATCCATTAAATTATAATATTTAAAATATCGTTTTGTACGTGTATGTAGTATAAAGTTTGAAATATTTGAAATGTTTCTTGGAAAAATTGATTCGAAATTAAAAAGTTTTATCACTTACTATTTGACATCAGCATATAACTTATCTTGATACTAATCAATAGAAGGAAATTATTTTAAAGTATTTATTTCAATTAGAAGAATTTTATCTAGAATACTACATAAGTCGTAGAAATGGTTCATAAAATCGACTTTATCGTGGTAAACCAAATCGATATACATCATCATTTTGGATTCAACGACAATGGACATTTGAAGTGCAAAGAGATTTGAAATGTATCATGTACTTAGTTCGATCATAAAAGTATTTGAAAAAGTTTTTTTTTTTTTTTTGAATAAGAAAATAAATTATTTTATTCTTTGTAGAAAACAATGGAGCAAATTTATTCAAGATGAGATTGGGGGTTTGTCTTCCGAACTTTTTAAATCGACTCAATTGACTTTTATGCAGATGCGTCCAAATGAATGGCGGAACATGATTAATGTGGATATTAGTTTATCATTTGACTATTTTTGTGGGAAAAATGTTTGTTGGTCTATACATCCCAATCTTAAATTCATTATCAAAACTTCATTCTTTATCATTTACTGATCCAGAAAGTATGAGTCATCAAGATTATAAGATTTTTTTCTCAACAAAACCTAGATGTAAAGTTACCAAAGTCTATCTCGAGAGACTGGATCAAACTCAAGATATTTATTTTCTAAGGACACATTGTCTTCATATGGTATATCTTAAAGCCGACTGGACGAAAGGTAAAAGGGATACGATACCTTTTGTACATATTTGTTTCGAGTAACGTATTTAAAATCATTTTTATGTATTAATCATGTTCATAATCTAGCTAAATGATTTTTGTGTTGGTTTTTTTTCTAACGAAATTTTCAATAAATAAATAATTCAGAATGATAGAAATTCATTCGTATAAATAAATAAAAATGTTAATGTTCAACGTTTTGCGGAACATGTGCAAACAAAATAGAGCAATGATTTAAATAGTTAGAGCTGATTACTCTTTGGATTTTTTTCTTTCCTAAGCCACTTTTTTTGAGAAGCCATAAGACGAGCTTTGTTTTAAAATCTTGAAATCAAAACTAAACAATTTTCCTATGGATGACATGGTCGATCGACTATCATAAAATATGGATTTTAGGGTACTATAACACACCTTCTTGAGGTCCTTATTAAAACTTTCGATTAAAGTTTTTTCGAGATGTTTTTGATAGACTCTTTGAAAATGAAATCAAATTTGTGAAGTCATGCCACTTTGGTACATTTCAGATCGAATTACTTGAAATAATCGCCTGCTGGGAAGGTGGCATTTTTCAAGTGTAAAATTTTTAGGAGACTGGAAATAAGTGACAAAATTATTTCTTCTAAGTATTTTTGTAGAGAATTTTTTTCTCTATATTTTAAAACAAACTACAACTCGAACAGATGAACTGACGCTGAGAAAAGTCCCACATACCGGGACTATCGAATTTTACAAAAAAAGACACGGATCTTGTGAAAGACCCTCTCAGTATTTTGGCCATAGCTCATCGCAGGCTCAATTAAAAGAGCTCATATTCTTACTATAAACTTTTCAAACCAAGGCCTATCAAATGGCAACAGAAAATCGAAATTTACAATTTTTCGAGAGGAGTGATGTTTTCGTTCAAGGTGGTGACCTCGCGAACTCTCTCTTAAGATAAATTTCATAACTTATCGTCACTGTCTAAAGCTCCTCTTCAAACACAAACACACGCGCGCACATCGAGTCACATCTCATCTTGAATATTGTTATCCTTTCTAACATATCATATCTCACTTCTTATCTATCTGTTTCAATTTCTTTTAGCTACATACAATACTTTCACTTCGTTTCTTTTTCTTCGTCCTCATACAGTCCAAAAAAATGCATTCCAAAACACTTCAACGTAGCTACCTCTCATGGTTAGCTTTAGCTCTTGCAATCTTGTCTTGTATCATTGCAGTCATTGGTATAGCTACGCACAATTGGGTGACAGCCACCCTTTCCGATTCATCTGGAAGTTTTCAGTATTGGTCATACGGTCTGTGGAGAAAATGTTTCTACAATGACACACAGACACTTACATGTGTCGATGTCACAAAATATAAACCATTTCGTCTAACTCAAGTGTTGACTGTATTGAGTGCATTCATTCTCAGTCTAATTCCAATTATGCTTGAGTCAGTAAGAATTTTTGGCAAAGGTAGCTCTACGAGTGTCGTCAGTTTACCAAGTTGGAAAATGAAAACGACAGTTATCGTACTACATTTATTGGTATGCTTATTGACAATCACTGGGATATTACATTATTTAAATATTTTTCTTGTTGCCAACTTGAAAATTGATTATTCCTTTGTGTTGATCCTAGGCGCAACTCTACTCGCGGTACTTGCTGCTGTTCTATATGGAGTGATACTAGGATACAGTCTTCAGCAAACAAAAGAAGTACAACATCATACTGTCACATTGTTAATGGGGATATTTGGTGTACTGGCAATTATCTTAGCTATCCTCGGTATAGCATCGCCGAGGTGGATGTACACATTTGATAAACGTCATGATACATTTAGTTTATGGCAACATTGTCATGATGAAGTTAAATGCTCCAGTTATACAGACGATGAATTTCGTGTCGTACAAGTATTAGCTGTTGTTGGACTGGGTATTCTAGTCTTGTCCGTGATCATGTCAATTCTAACCTCATTCATTTGGAAACAAAGTGTGCATGTCAAAGTTACGGTCTTAATATTATTCGGCCTTGGTATTCTGGCACTGTATGCAGCATTCTTTTGGTTTGTAATCACATGGTTTCAAATCTTTTCTAATATGGACATTGGTTATTCTCTAACTATGATGATTTTCTCGGCAGCACCAACGAGCATCGGTGCTGGTATAGTACAAGCGGTAGCGTTCGGACACTCAATGGAAATAGTAGATAAATTTTGAGTCATTTTCTATGTGACTATTTGTTACTGATTGATGATGATTTTTTGCGTGTGCTTCTTCAGTATCTATTGTGATTATAATGATTATTTTTTCAAAGAACACCACTGATTTTAAAAAGTTGTCCAAATTTAATGAGATTCGCACTGCTGGTAAAAGTAAATGAGATACATTCACTATAAAATTTCCAGCTCCATATGACTCATTGAAAAGAAGTTATAATGAAAATACATCTGTAGAGCAGATGTCTAATTCGAGTTCGAATATAAATGAAGATTCCAAAAGATTCATTCCTATGCCTAATCATAGGGTGAGATTTATATCTCTCCATTGTACACTATTATATATACACTTCACCACTGTTAGTTTAGGAATAGATTTAGTTCTAGTTATATAGGTATAGGTAGGGTGTGGGTGTGACTGACAGAACAACATCCACATCCACACCCACCCAATCCAAAAATGAATTTGAATTTTAGATGGTAATATGCGCATTTTTATAGTATTTTACCTATCATTTTTTTTCAGCTCAAATATTTTCATAAAACTTTTTCACAAATCTATTACTCTCATCACTGGCAAGTTTTTCTGCAAATATTTCATGGCGACATGCTTTTTTTCTGAGCTTTGTGAATCAATCTATACAAACACGATATTTTAGAGGTGCAAGGTTTTTGTCAATATTCTTCCTCTAACATTACAGTAAGATGAGATATCAGAGTTTAAAATACAGAAGTTTGTAGAGAATTAAAAACTCTATCAAATGGTATTTGAACTGAATTTTCAGACATCTTCGGTTTTTTTTACCAGAAAACTTAGTATGACCAGGTACGAATAACATTGCTTGAAAATGATAGCATCTTTCCGTAGAAAACTTTGAAATGTTCAATAATTTTCGAAAGTAGTGTAAGTCTTGTCTGTACTCTCGTTCGATGCATTTTTCTGAAGCGGAGAAACTATGGAAAAGGAGTCTAATGCTATTGTCATAGGTTGCTAATGCCTTTAAAAGGTATGAGGAAGTCCAAAAACCTCGAATTGAAATTTCACTCACTATTTTCTTCGAAAAATATGCGAATTCCACAAAAACTAAGTGAGTCTAGCTTTACTTTTAATATCTTATGCAAATATCTTACTTGATGTGTAAAACTCCATGTTAGTCATCAACATTTTTTCCCTTTCTGTTGTTACAGACAACAATTGAAATTGAGTAATTCTTTATTATATGCCCTTGAATCAAACCAATAGCTACGCTGCATTATGACTCAATTTTACCTGCATAAATGTGAGCATTGATTCATACACGTGTGCCTTTAATAAATTACTCAATCTGGATCGTTATATGTGAGGAAAAGGAGAACAAAAAATCCATGTGTAGGTAGTTTTCAATCTACAATAAAGGGAATTTTCGTAATATGCAACATATAAAGAGAAAATGATAACTCTTATTTTTCATTATTATTTCTACTTCAGTATACAGACATATCTAGTAAGTTTTTCAATTCATTACATTTACTGATGCTCGCTAGGCGGACTCATTTGTCTGATCCTAAAAAAAACAGCTAGAAAATATTCACAGGTAGTATGAAAGTTTTCTCAAACATTTTAAGTTTTATTTTTCCATTTCTTCTTCCAAGAAGAAAGAGTAGTACTTAATCATATGAATTTATACATGGATATATCAAGAAAGATAAAATTCTACACTATATACAAAATAAACGTCCAGTAGCATACAACCCATTATATAAGAAAAAGTGCGTAAAGATTGATTTAAGGATTTGAAATCTGTTTAATTTGCGGGTGTCTTTCAAAATCAGTGAACATCTAGATTGATTTTTGAATACTACTAAGGAAACTTTACGAAACTATAATTCTTTAAAGGGCGATATCATGATAGTTCTACCAGACTATCTTCTGAGAGACTCCTAAAGACATCTTCAGATGTCTTACATATTTCTCAAGCTGACATTTAGATTCTTTGCATTAATCAATCGTCCCACACAGAACTAAAAATAGCGGTAGACAATATTATGGAATATCTAGATCCAACCATTTTACTAATCGATTTTCCTTTTTCGATAATATCGCTAAACAGATTGTAACAGTTCGTAGAATTGCAACTTTTTGACTTATTCATAATCATTATATTTCTCTTTCAGATTAACCTATGAATGAAAATATTTCTAGCGCAACTGTGACGCGCGATCACAATGATTCTGAAGATGTTTTATGTTTAAGAAGTCTTTCAAGATATCAACTTGCAACAATTGCAGAAGATACTTTGAACAAACTCAAAGCTGGTTGGTACCGTCCATCTAATGGTCCTCGGATTAGTCTAGCAGAAGATGTCGCGTTTTCTATGGAGAACAGTGTAGTTTACACAGAAGATGATATTATAAAAAAAAAGAAACTAATCTTAAATATCGATGAAACGAGTCCAACATCATTCGCAATAGCTACATCTTCGTATCCAGAGATTGAAGTTCGTCATTGTACAACTCTACAAGCAGCTCAGTCATTAGTTGCTGAGATAGCGGAAGATCGTGTTGGAATATTAAATTTTGCATCAGCTAAAAATCCAGGAGGAGGTTTCATAAAAGGTTCCAATGCACAAGAAGAATCACTTGCAAGATCTTCATCACTTTATTCAATATTTACTCAAACTAGAATTTTTAATGAATTTTATGATTATAATCGACGTGGTAAACGTGGTATCTACAGTCATCGAATCATTTATTCACCAAGAGTAACTATTTTCAAAGTATGACCAATAAAACTAATAAGACAAGTTTATTCTAATTGATCTTTCTTTTTACAGGATGATAATGGAAAATTATTATCTTCTCCATATCATGTTGGTATTGTAACAGTTCCTGCTCCTAACGCTAGTGTTGTCCGTCAAACAGAACTAGTCAAAAGTACAATGATGGAACGTATTAGACGTTTATTATACGTTTTCGAAGCTAACAAACACGATACTCTTGTATTAGGAGCGTTTGGTTGTGGTGTTTTTAAAAACAATCCATTAGACGTTGCAATTATGTTTCGACAACATTTAGAATCGGATGAGTTCAAGAACTCTTTTAAACGAATCATCTTTGCAGTTTTGAATGAGGATATGTATCAAATATTCAAGGAAGTGTTCACTAGTACTGATTTAAGTCATATACAGCATGAAACTATGAGCATATATCTGGATGATAATAATGATGAACAACGTCCATACGGTAACCAAAAGCAACAATACAAGAACAGAACAAAGGAAAGACGAAAACGAAACAATGACTTTAAACAATCTTATGATAAAAACTATAACGATTTTCATAATTATGAAGATGAGAATGAATGAAAGAAAATAATAGTGAGAAATAAAATATGTAATATAATTATCGGTCCTTATTTACCGTTTATAGATCACCATCAATCATACATATATGGGTGTATAGAAAAACAAAAAAAAGGAAAATTAATTGATCGACTATGAGTGTATGCTCACCGAGATACAAATATTATCTCATGAACAGAATGAAATAGAATCGAAAAACATCGGATTAGATGATTGACTGATCGTATAACAGTGCCAACTTCAAAGAATGGCAGTAAATGATATTCAGCAAAATAGACAGAAATATCAAATGTAAAAAATAGTATACTTGAACAAAAAAAAAGAGCAAAAATCGAAGAATGGACATAAGGATGTGGATATGGGTGAGAGTGAAAAGTGGATCAACTTCCAAATCCACACTCTGACTCCAATGCTAGAACTTGATAGAGAAATTTTCATTTCTATAAGAAAAATTCTCCTAAATTATTTCTCTTCGAATGTCATTCTATCGGGTGTTTCATTTACAGTTTGTTGCTCAACGCTATTTCGTTTTACAAAAATGAATTAAACACTATAATGGATTAACTGTCGATATCTGTTGTCAGAAATATTGTGTATTATCAATGATATCAAAATAAGAATGAGATGTTATTGTAGTCTGTTCTCTTTATTATTGAATATTGATCTCAAGTTCAAGAATTCTGTATATAAAAAGTACTATTTTAGTCTCGTATTGGTTCACATGTATAGTATTCATCTTGTATATGCACAATAAAATCTGGATGCGAGTGTGGCCTTCAGACTCACACCATTCTACACTCACCCATATTGATTATTTCCCAAAGTTATGACTTGATCAATTGACACTTTCTATGTTGATCTTATGATGACTATGGAAAATCAATCCATAATTATTCATCATTGTTGACACCTTGAATATAAATTTTTATGTCTGCAAAAATCAACATTTGCACTATTTAAAACATTCACAAATATATTGCAGCCACTTAAAGGATGCCGCCGTTTAAGAAAATTTTCGATTTTAAAGACTAGTCTATAAGAGTTTTGTAGAGAAACTAACATAACTTTACATTATTTCAAACGAGGTAAAAATAAAATTAATTGACTATGTGGAATAAAATGATAACGTTTGTTTTCAGTTTCAATCTAATATTCAACTAATAGATAAAAAGTTTCGAAAGACATCATCGACTAGAAGCTTATTGAAAATGATTCAACGTTGTTTTATTTTCTTCGTGAAATTAGTTGTATTGCCTCTACACAATAAATTTTTATCTAAATGGAAAAATTCATCAGGTATTTGCAAATATTATTTTGATCATTAAGAAAATTTGAAGTTTTTTGTTTTTCGGGGGGAAAAAAGTGAAATTTCATTTTTCGATAAAAAAGAAATTTATTGTTGAACACTGAATTGTAAGCTATAAAAAACATTATCATTAATTCAATCGAAACAACTTATTGATATAATTCAATATTTGTATACTTATCATATTATTCATCGTGATTGAGATCTACAAAATTTGATATTCGATAGTCATATTCAACAATTGAAATTAATTGGTTTTGGTTTCGCTACTAAATATGAAATGATAAAATAATTACAAATAAATGGTACAATAACATTTGCTGGGTATCAAGTTTTAAATATTATTTCAACTTTATCATTTGATTCATTATAATTTCAATGTTATGTTTACAAACGAACTTTTGATTTAAAATATAGACTAAATATTATTATGTATATGAATGATAATATTGTTCAAATGAAGATGAAATCAATCCAAAAAATAAAATATTTTCTAGAGAAAAACATCGCAAACATTAAAATTATGAAAAAATCTTGAACAAAATAATAAAAATTATTCCATTTGTTTTTTGTTTGTGTATTATGGTTACAGTAGTTTTGTATGTGTGTAGATACATGTATAGAGAAAAAATGATTGCAACAGTATTAGATTATTTTTAATTGATAAAAAATTCCATATGTCTATACAATGTCTTTCGAGCAAATATTCGTGAACCATTTCGAGACTATTCTCTTGTAGGATTGATCTTTTGAAAAAAAAATTAACTGAAAATATATTATAAATCAGATATTGTGTATTCGGATAAGTTTCAAAATTTTAGCTTTCTTTCGAACAAATACTATGCACTGTATTCATACAAAGAAATTAAATTCTTGAAATAATATTATAGATTTTAATCGAAGAACAACATTCGTTTTTGTTTTCTACAATTTTTCGAATATGAAAAATCATGATAATTGCCTTCGAGAAGAAAAACACGGCATGAAATAATGACTAATACAAATTTTCATCTGTCTAACCTTTTTTTGAAAAATATTTTATTGTATATAATTTTAAGCATATGTTCCATATTGGCATATGCACGAATGGTTTCTTTAGCCTCATTATAAAAATATCGTATTTGCAAATTTGAGTAAACTTTCACACATTGTAGTTATTTTCTAAGATTATTGATCGGCATAAAACTAATCTACCTCTTTTTCTTTTTACCGACGTTCGATTTTTGTTTAAGTTGTTAATATTCGCTCGTTAGTTTTAGTTTGAGTTTTTTTTTGCATTGATTTGTTCTTATTTTAACTGTAATTGATTGAACTGGCAAATAAGCCTGTTACACAAAGTATACATTGTATTGAAAGCAAATATGAACGAACTATTATGTATTTCGATCAACTCACAAACAATGAAATTGATTTTTTTTCTAATGTAACAATTTGGTCAATTCATTATGCTTATGATGATCATATTAAGACTGACAAATCAATGTATCACAAACAATCATTGTTGACATACTGAATACAAATTTTTATTTGTGCACAAATCAGAAACTGCACTATTGGAAATAATGCCAAAAGTATTCCAGTATTCCTTTACCTGATATTCCACCATGTATGCAGAAGAATTTGCAACGAAATATTTTAACGGAAGAATACAATCTTTCGAATTTGCTGGTCAGCACAGCACTGCATGTGGGTGTGGATGTTTGGTTTTGCCCATAGTTACACCCTCCTGATACATCATAGGATCTATTAGAATTCTTGAAAACAGACGGCAAAGACGGAGAATTGATCTTAGTATTTCCATCAAGAAAGAAAAAGGAGACCTTGAAGATTGAGACTCTCATAGAGGCGAGGAATTTTGATATACCTTGATGAATTCTACGATTTATGCGATCCAATAGTATCCATCAAGATCCAAGTTTTCTATTGACTTCAATAGATTCTAATCAATAATGTTGCATTTCCCACAAGGGAAACTCTGATGTTTTCAAGTTCGATCTATGATCGATATACATGTCGTGTATAGAATTAGCTAAAATTGAGAAATACTAATATCGATCACGATTTACTGTTGCACGTACAAACATTAAAAGTGGATTATATGGCATGAGCGAAAGACCAAGTGGACTAAGAATATGAAGTTCGACACGATATAAGACTCCCATGAGAAATTGATCTTAGTCCAAAAACATTCAAATTGCATGAAATTTTCAAGACATGTTGGGGCTGGAATGGAGAGATTATGATGAAATTTTCAGCCCTATATCATGATGTTTTCCGGTGATATTCAACTAGCAGCAGTCAAAAACAGCTCATTCGGCAACCCCAAATTTTCTGTTGCCTTTCATTCTATAGACTTGATTCTTTTTTTTGTTTAAAAGTGCATGTCAGGATGCAGGGCATTACAGAGACTTTTTTAAATTATTATTTTGTAAGGGAAATATAAGAATGAAAAGTTCATCGTTCCGAAAAATTCTCAAAAAAAAAAAATAGCGCTCTAATTATATAACGAAGCTTAATTCAAACAACGGGCTCTGTCATGCTATGCATCTTGATGTGCTCTATGAAACAAAAGAAATGATCTATTGGCTATAATGAAGCTTCTTCTAGAATTCTAGGATGCTCGATCAAAAAAAAACAAACTGAGAAAAAGATTTTCCACTTTATCTAAAAAACCCATATTTTTCAAGCAGATAATGACGAAAACTGTTGAAAAAAAATGCAGCTCTAAATGAAGAATCATTTCATTTATGAAAGAACAGATCTTTCACTATATGTCTATCTATTTATCTCAATTTATGTTTTTCACGAAAATTGACTGTTTTTGAGAGGGAGAGTAGCTTAAATCCAGAATGTCGATTCGGAGATGGTTTTTCGCAAAAAGATTAACTCCGTGTCTTACCTTTCAGAGAGTTCGATTCGCCTATCCTTATGAGAAATAGACATCAATTGATAAGTCGCTTTTCGATTGAGATAATATTGATAAACAAAAAAAGGAAACATGGTAAATAATATCACAGTTCCAGTCGGATTGGGTGTTTGTATCTTTGTTGCCAAGTCTTCGAACTTTTAGTCGATTTTCTTCGCAGAATGTCACTAAACCAGCAAAATTATATTTTCATTTTTGACTTGAAACTTTTCTCTAATGTAGACTTTTGTTAGACTAACTTAAATAAAAAGCATTCAGAATCTCTTTTTTTTTTGGATCACTATATCCCACCGAGATATTAATTTCTTAATGTATAGACTTTTCCTCAAATCAAACGGATATTTTGAGAATTTGATATCTTGAATGTACAGTAACTAAAATAATTCGAAAAATTTTCTATTCAAGTTAATCTAATAGAGTTCTTCAATTGGGAAAATTTCAAGTCGGAAAAAAAAGTTTAATTTCTGAGAAATAAAGATTCAATCACAAAAATTCTATTTAAATTATACAGTCTCAATCGAAAATCATGAAAACTTCTAGTGTATTCAAAATTCTTTTCATTGATATTATTTGCTTAGATATAACTGAATATCTATTGAATTTCAAATGTTTACAATCAATCAGATTTTACATTACTATATATCTAACACGGCCTTTTCATGTATACGATAGAATTTTTTGATACAGATTTATGAATGAAATTTTAAAATTTTCTTACTGAATTGATTATTTAAGGTATTCTTTTTGACCTTAGAAGTATAATATAGACTTTTTTTTATGTCTTCATTCGGCCATAAAAGATACAATCACACACAGATCAATAAAACTAACTTGAATAACATCAATTTTTTATTAACTTCTGTTTTTTTTTGGCTATGTTGATTCTTACTACTCGTAAAGTTATATCAAAGTCAAATAATTTTGCAATAGATTCTACTCTTTTTATTCATTTCCAATAGTTATCTTATTCTTTATTTGATAAATGAAAAATAATAAACGTCAAAAATTGAAAATTGTCTTTTTCCAGTTATCAGCGTCAATATTGAATGTAGATTACTAATCTCCTAATTTATTGACGTTTGTTTCTTGTGAGAGCCTCTATTGACATTATACAAGCCAAAAGTATACGTCTCGTTTTCTTTTTTCGAAAATGCCGATTCCCTTTTTTTTTTTGATACGAGCTATCGATCGAATGGCAGTATTGTGTAAAAATGAATGTCATGAATATAAATAAACAGAAATAGGTAAATATTAGATATCACCCACACAATCTGTGATTAATAGATACGCAACATAAAGGCAATATATAAATATAAGAAAGCATTACTAAATTTTTACTTTCATTGCAATAAATAAGAATGTCTGACGACGAACGAAAAAGTTGGCCTGAATATGTTGGTAAAGATGCCAATGAAGTTGAACAGAAATTACAAGCAGAAGGTATATTAAATTGAATATTCATATATATATCGATATAAACACATACTCTATTCTTTAGGCTATAATACTCAAGTATTACCACAAGGTTCACCAACTACACGTGATTATCGTCTCGATCGTGTTCGTTTATTTGTTGATGGCAACAACAAAGTTGTTCAAACACCTATCAACGGTTAATTCTTATCTATATTCTATGATACTAATATAGCACAAAAAAACAAAAAAACACTAGTTTTTTTCTATTCTATCTACTTATCTCCTAATTAATATAGTTTCATTTGAATAAAAACAATAATTTGTTTTCTTGCATACAAAGTTTGAAATCGTTATATTATTGATAAAGACCAAGTAAAAGATAGTATGTTGATATACAGATGAAAAAAACAGAACAACAAGAGAGAAGACACGAACATGTATATTGTATATAAATATATATATATATATAGTTGATGATGGAACATAAAAGATTATATGAGATTATTCAATATAAGCCATAGAAACAAGAATAGGCATTAAAAAAAAAAAAGAACAATTGTTTTTTTTCCTATGTTTAACGAAAGAAACAACGTTTCTCAATAATACTTAGACAAAAGAAGAAAAAAAAACCTGATATAGACAAACACATACATCTAATATAAGAAACCAAATCTCACATATAGATAACAAAAAAGAAAAAAGATTAGATAAGTTGAAAAAGAAAAAAAAAAGAGAATATGAACAAAATGTCTTTCACTCTCTTTGGCTTTTTATGGTTATTTTAGCACACAATTTTTATTATTTATAGAAGTGCACATGTTGATTTTTTCGATTTTTTTGGTGGTTCAAGTGCAGCTAATATTGCTTCATCAAAAACATTTTTTAAACCTTTCTATAAAAAATAAAAACATAATTCTTTGTAGAATTTCTTCTTCTTTTTTTTTTTGGTTTTGTCTTACTTGTGTTAATGCACTACATTCAACATATTTAACTGCTTTAAGTTCTCGTGCTAATTTTTCACCTTGTTCTAATGATGTTGGTTTTTGCCGTGATTTTTGTAATTTTTCCATTGTATTTGGATCTTCTCGAAGATCAATTTGAGTACCAACAAGTAAAAATGGTGTTTTAGCACAATGATGTGAAATTTCTGGTACCCACTATTTTTATCAAACAAATAAAAAAAATATTATTAATATTTTGTAAATTTAACTAGATGATATAATCGACTAAATTCAAAAAAAAAAACCGACTTTTTTTTCTAATCAGAATAATCTAATTGATTAGGTCAAGGGCATGAATTTTTCATTTTGACATGATGTTAATAGAATATGCAAATTAACTTGATCAATGATTAGAATTCTCATGAGAGATTTAGACATATTTATATCTTTATGATTAAATATTTAACATACTTTTTCTCGAACATTTTCAAATGATGATGGTGAAACAACACTAAAGCATACTAAAAATACATCCGTTTGTGGATAACTTAATGGACGAAGACGATCATAATCTTCTTGACCTAAATTTTTAATTTTTGTCAAATAAAAATTTTTAAACAAAAATTAAATAATAAATCATACCAGCAGTATCAAATAAACCTAATGTATATGGTTCCCCACCAATCATTACCGTAACAGCATAATTATCAAATACCTAATTGAATATGAAAATTTTCATTTAACTCTTTTTTTTTATAAATAATAAAACTTACAGTTGGTACATATTCACTTGGAAATTTATTCGTTGTATAACTAATTAATAGACATGTTTTTCCTATTAATTATGATTTAAGAAATAAAATAGCAAAAATAAAAAAAATCTTTAATAAATGAACTATTTCATACCAACAGCACCATC